AGTTTGTACACACTCAAACTCAAACCTGAACCTGAAGCCGACGGGTTTCGGGTACCCTGAACTCGACGAAAATCTTGAAAATAATTAATGTATTCAATGAAAGTTATGATATTATTTCATTTCATTCTTCTCTATCATTTCTATTTTCTCTTGTTTGATTTCATTTCTTTTATGTTTGAAGAGTGAATAGAATGTAAAGTTAAATTAAAAATTAAGAAAATTGATAGATGGTAGAACTTTTAATTGCAAATTGAATTACATTACTTCGAGGTAGATTCAGGTTAATGTTTTTGTTATACCAAACCCGAACACAAACTTGAATTCAATCACATCAGATTTTTTCCGTTAAATTCAAATTGAGTTCGTCATTAAGTTGTATAGCTGGAACCAAGGGAAGCAAAGCTTGGGATATTATATTACTATATATAGTTTGCATGTGTTGGGTTAAGGAACAAGACAATGGTATACCATATAGGATGCATGTGTTGGGTTAAGGAATAAGACAGGTAAAGCACGCCTAGAATATAATTTTTTAAGTTTTAATTTTTCGAATTTAATGAAGTTGGTTTTTTCAATGCCAAAGTGGGTACCACCATGCATATTACAACTCATACCACTACACCAACTTTCTCTATTGTTGTTGCATGCAAATCAAGAAAGGAACTTCTCGTGAATAGTGTAATCCAAGTATGAAAACTTTCTATATATTACTCGCTATATTTTATTTATCTCATCAAAATTTGATACTTTATTTCTTTAATGAATAAGTAATTAACTTTCATAATTTGATGGATTGTGTATAGTAGTGAATATATAAAAATTGTGTTAGTTACATAATTGCTGTGGGAGAGGTTAGAGAAGAAAATGCATGTGTGAGAGTGTCTCTATATATGGTCCCCTTTGCATAATGTTGGAACATCTACCCTCCTTTTTTCTGGCATTCGGAAACTTTAGAATAGGGTCAACATATTTGGACATTTACCTGATGATTAATTATTTTTTGAACTTTAAAATAATCATAAACTTCAAAAACTAATCCAAATCTAAATGTTGGTGGAGATAACTTTTGAACTCTATAAAATATATTGAATTCTATTTTAATGTAAACTCTTCTCAATTACTCATTATTATGAAGTTATAATTTGACATATGAAATAATATATAAACGAATGTTTTGTTAATCATTTTCATATATATACATATATGATGCAAATATCTAATTTTTAAATCTGATCTTAAGTCAGTGAAACCCAACTATATCCGATCCAATTAAGTGTCACCCCTCTAACAACTTCCTTCCACTTATTAAAAAAAATTATTACCAAATAATATGGCTAATCAATTTGAAAAAACTGAGAGCTTAGAGAGAAATATTGATACACTCTACTTATTAAATGCATACATTTCATGCATTTTAGTGCCTAAATTTATAATTGTGTTTGTTAGTATTTGATTTTGCTACACTAATGTTTGAGTTGGTCCAAAATGAACGGAATTTAGATCTCTAAACATAGAAGTCTTCAATTTGATCTATGTATCCATAAAAACTATTAACTAGAGTCACTATTTTAATTTTCGAGGGTGTGATAATTAATTATTACATTCTTGAGATATTAAATATGAAAGAGAAGTACCAACAACTGAGTGCATCCTCTCATATCATGTGAAAGCAGTTAATACAAGTATGAGACACTCCCTCTCCCATGTGTGTATGAAATCAACAATAATATTGTCCGTTGATAAAGAGACGAATACTTTATTTTCTTTGTATTTTTAATGACAAAAATGTTATTTTATTATATAAAAAGATAAAAAATATTTTATGATATTATTTTTATATTGTTTTTTTGTAATACTTATATATCCATTAATGAAGATGATCCTTATTCAAAATATGATTTTATAAGATAATTAAACACTATCAAAATTATCATGTATTTGTAATATAAATATGTCTCATATATAAAATAATGTTAAAGAAATAAATTTGAATGGTACATAAATATGCATGGAGGAGGGATAACCAAAACTAATTCACTTTTTAAGATGGTTAATCTTTATAAAAAAAAACAAATTGATTTTTTTGGGTAATATAGTAGATGATATTATAATTTCACCTATCTTTTTCTTTTGATAACACCAACCCTTTGTATTAATAAGTAACATGAAAAGATGTTGAAACTTTATCAAACAAAATATACAAATTCACTAGCATCCTGGATAACAAAGATTTTTTAAGCTAAAAAAAGTTTATGATCTCATTTGCTACCATGGAAAGGAATAAACAAAATAAAGAAAATTAAGTACAAGCTTAATATTTTGTGTAAACCAAGTATATGAGGATGAGACTACGTTTCTTATTTCTTTGATTTTTATGTTCTATTCTTCTAAGATATATTTTTTGATATAACCTAGAGTATCTCTACTCAATGGATAAAAAATTAATATATTTTATGGGGTGTGTTAATGTCTTTACAATAAATGAAGCTTTTAGGAAGTACTAAATTAATATCTTATTGATTTTAGTCATCTAATTTTAATGTTGAACTAAAAATTAAATGATTGAATTAAAGAAGAAAAATGTGATTACTAAAACCTAAAATTGCCAATATATGTTCCACTTTTTCACCCACCAATGAGAGATAGTGTCACTCATACTACAAGAATGAGTGAGATTCATCTCCATTAATATGAATTTGGATCATTTGTTGTAATAGATTCTTCAGTACAGTAAGATATTGTGACATATGTCATTAAAAAATAATGGTACATATTTTCAATTATTTTTAATTAAAGTTTTTCTTTTAATTTTCAAATTATTTTGTGCCAAGTAGTGGATTGTCCGGAGATAATCCAAAACCCATTAATATATATGGAAGTTATATGAAAAATAAAGAAAAAATAAAAACAAATATTTGAAAACAGGTTAAAGCTTATTTAATTTTCATAATTACTTCCACCTCCAACTACTTCCCAAATATTCTTTCCTTTCTTCCTATGCTTTCCTTTCTTCATTATCAAACCCTAGAAACTTCAATTTCACCCTTTTTGATGCAACAAATGGGATCAACCCACTACAAACTCTAGTCCCATACATCAAGATTCACCTCATACCCACTTCAATTATGGCCTTATTTTCCACTTCCCACTACTTCATACTCTTAACTTTCCTCATTTTATTCCTCAAAATCCATGCTTTTCACCCACTTTCATCGTTTTCCTTCACAGGTTTTGAAAAAGATCCAAAATTTGAGTCAAGTTTGGCACTTTATGGAAATGCTAATGTTATCAATGGTGGGTCTGAAGTTCTTCTTTCTTCTGGGTCTGGTAGTTCAAGAGGGAGTGGAAAAATCATGAGCAAGAAGCCAATCAAGCTTGCTGAGGGTAAATTAATGAAACTTAACTCATTTTCAACTTACTTTGCATTTTCAATCTCATTGAATGATGTGGATGGTTTAGCTTTTGTTATGGTTCCAAGTGGTTTTGAAGGTGAAATTTTTTATAATAGTTCTTCTTTTGGTTTGAGGGAAAAGAGTTTTAAGTTCATTGCTGTTGAGTTTAGTGCTTCAAGGAATGGTAAAAATGGTGGTTCTAGTTATTGTATTGTGAGCATTAATGTTGGAAATTCAGTAGTTGCTAAAATAAGAAATGATTCCTCTGTTAGTGTGGGTCTAAAAAGTGGTGAAAAACTTCATGCTTGGATTGATTATGAAGCGAGTTCGAGGCGGTTAGAAGTGAGGTTGAGTCAATATGATCATTCAAGGCCATCTGATCCAATGCTATGGCATACAATTAACTTCTCAAATTTGTGGAAAGCCAAAGAAATGTTTGTAGGATTTAGTCCTGTGAAGAGTGATTCTTCTGAAGCATGTTCTCTCTACTCATGGAGCTTTATTTTGAGACATTTACCATATTGGATGCATTCTGAGCCTCTTGATCCAAAGCACCTTGCTATTCAGGAGACTGTGTTTCAAGAAGTGAAACCAAGGAGTGATTGCTTGTTAAGAATTCTAGCTGCAATGATATTTGGTGCTGGATGTGGAGCTTTAACAGCATTCATAATGCTTTATGTGTGGACCATTTTCGGCAATAGCCGACCGGTCGTGCCAGAGGAGTATGTTATGCAGCCCATAGAATGTGAGTACAAGAAAGTTAATGTTGTTGTAGAAAAAGCCATTAAAGATGCTCAAGAGTAGATATGCAGGAATTTGTGTTGTAAATGCAGTGTTTTCTTCCATTCATGTTTTGCCTTATTATTGCAGTGTGGTAAAGAAACTGCTGAAGTTACTTTTTCTCATGTTATATTTTTCTATTGTTAAGCAATTTGAGATCAAGATCCAACTCTGAATTAAATATTACATATCTTTACTTCTTTTTGAAACATTATTACCAAATTAAAAGCTATTTTGATGTGATGTATGATCTAATGATGTTGCTTAGAGAGATTTCATTGTATGATCATGACAACATATAAATCACAATCAGTGTATTGAATATTCACACTTGTGTCATTGTGATCCATAAGGATTGATACACTTTTAGTATCAAATGTCACTTAATAATGGATTAAGGAACTTCAGAATTCAAGATGATAACATCATTACAGTAAATAAAAAAACACATTGAGACATTCTTGCATGGGAGATGATCCACTTACTCCGAAAGTTAAACTTACTCCACGTTTTAGTCATTAATTGTAGGGAAATCCAATAGTTTGAATTAAAGAGTAGATCTAAATTATTAGATTTCCTAGAATTGATAGCTAAGATGATAAGTAAGCTTAAAAAATTTACTCCAAGTAAATTTTCAAACAGATGCTTTAATAATCAGTGTAAAACATGCATATCAATTAAATAATTCAACCCCAACAAATCATAACATCATACCATTAACCAAGCAAGATCTAAGTATATTACAGATTCAGATCACATTGGAACAAAGGGGTTCATCATATTTTTTAAATATAAAAAAACTATGGATTGATATGCATAACAAAAATCAAGGTATCTCAGCAAGTTATAGTTATCTTCAATTCCCTTAGAAAGTTTCAGACAGATAACGAACTTTATTAATAAAATAACAGATCCATAAATCAACCAATGAAAATTTTGAAAAATCACTTTCTTTTTGTGTGCATTGTACAATAATCATATAACAAAAGATTGAGAAAAAAAACATCTAATGCTCGTAAACAAACATCTAATGAATAAGCGATCAAAAATTTAAGAATGATAGAAAATCGAAATACGACGTCTTAGGTTTAACATTTGAACCTAATTGTTTGAGCTAACGAGAGAAGAGATGAGGTTTCAGGTGTAATCACAAGGCCAACAGCGTATGGATTCTAACAATCTATAAGACCGCGTAAACATGTGAATTTAATTTATTATTTTTATAAAATAAAATTAAAATTAAGGGTTATTTTTTATTTATTTGAAAACATTAATTAGTGTGAAACATTGAGACGCAAAATTTATGGACACAGGATCAGGTTCCCGTAAACACTAAGGCTGCTGTTAGGAAACTTAGATATTCTCTTTCCATGTTCTAAGTTTTTTTTTTAATTTCAACAAAATTAGAACTTAATTACTATGGAAAGAGAATGAGAAATAAAAGAGAATAGAAAGTGAAAGATATATAATTCTCGAAAATAAATTTAAAATAATGTTTTACTACTAATTAAAAATTTAAGAATTATAACTTCAAAATTTATTGCAAATATTATATTATTATATTTCAAATTTTAATTTTAAACAATAATTGGAATTAAGAAAATAGAAAAAGTTATTGGAAATAAAAAGTTATTGTGGGTACATTCAATTTTTAATTCTCTCATTTATTACTCTCTTCAAATCAAATATAAAAGAATCTTTATTTTTCTTCAGCCTCTCTTCCACTTTATATTTCTTTGCTCTTTCTACTCTATCAAAGAGAACTATAACATTTGAAAGATAATTTTTAGAAATCTACTATAGTAATGTTTAGAAAATAAAAATAATTTTCAATAAATTACATACTTACCTCTAACTAAAAAATTGTATTATTTTTCTCATGAATAAATTATTTTCATATTGGATTTTTACATTTGATTATTACATGAATGTATACATTATTTATATAATATGTTTTTAAATGATGTATAGTGTCAACAATAAAAAGATGCTATAAATATACGCAATTTAATTGTATCTTTCAAAATAAGAAATATTAAAAACAGAATATAAAACAAACAAATAAAATAATGCATGTCCAATTATAAAATATTGCATGTAGAATTTGTTTATAAATTATCTATATGTATTTAATTATTATAACCATTAATTATTTAATTAATAAATAAGTAACTAAACAAATATTTGATGTGTTTTTTATTAACTTCCAAATTTAAACAAGTTACAAAACTAGTTTTAACATAAGTATAATTCAATAAACTACATTTATAACTATATAAACACATAGATACCTACAAATAACTACACAAAACCAGTTTCCTTTAATTACTTTGTGCTTTTCAAACTGTAAAAGTGTAGTGAAAATTCCCCATGGATGCAGTAGCAACAGAAAAACCAGTGACCCTAAGAATTTTGATAGATGAAGAGAAAAATAAAGTTGTGTATGCCCAAGCTAGTAAGCACTTTGTTAATATCCTTCTAAGTTTTTTAACCTTTCCATTGGGTACTATTGCTAGGCTTGTTGCTAAGGAATCAGACATGAAGAAGGTTAACGTTGGAAGCCTCAACAATTTGTATGAAAGCGTAGCCAATCTTGATGTTGAACATTTTTGGACAGAAAAATGTAAAGAAATGCTTCTTAAGCCCAGAAATTCTATGGAAGCTTATTGTGAAAATCTAAAGCTCAACATTGATGACACTGAGAAATTGAAGTTTTTCATATGTGAGAACTTTGTTTGCCTTCGTCCAAAAACTGGTAGCATGCTGAGCATATTCACGGACAGAAAATGCAATTGTGGGAAACTCATCAATAGAGAGATATTTCCGAAAGAAGAACTTTGGAATAACTATGAAGGGTTCCTTCAGGACATGGATAGTTTTATTGTTTTTGATAATCTGAAGGTGATGCCTGATAATATTCAAAACTGTCTTTCTCTACTATGAGTTTTGGATATCAAGACTTCAATGCGTTCAAATCAGACACTGTTGTCATTGTTACTAGGAAGGAGGTATGCATGTTTTGTTTTCTACCTTTGCATGAAACATGCATATATATATATATATTTTTGTGTGACCTATGTGATAAATTTTCTTTATTAAATGTTCTTTCTGATTTATAAAAGATATAGTTTTCATTGACATATAAATCTTTTGATTCATTGTATACATCATCATCTTTTAACAGAAGCACTTAACGAAAACTGATTGTATACCATCAAAACATTTAATGTATCTTACTATGCTAAGTTTTATTTTTGCAGATAGTGGACTTACTCAAATGCTCCTTACTCTCAGAAACACCTCTAACTGATTTTTTTCCTCAGGAAAAAGCAGTTCCATGATATTTCACAACCAAGGAGTTCATTGCTTCTTAATATTGATGATAATGTTAGAGTGGAGGTGATTAAACTAAAGTTAATAGTAAGGAAATCCAACATGAAGGTATTGTTTGCTATAGTTGGGGATGACTTTGTTGATCTTCTTTTCACTTTTTTGACTTTCCTGTTGGATATTTCCGATTAATCCTAATCGTATCCCCTTAACAGAATGATTAGGACTTTGTTCCGAAACCAAATGTTTATGCCCATACATAAACCCCAATGGAACAATCCTAATCCAGACCCAAGAAAACCCCAATTGGTTTCATAGTGAAGAAGAAAAAACATACCTTGGTTAGCCATTCCGAATGCTCCGAGGTATGTGGGTTGTAGGATGTTCCGGTTGCTAGAGCCTGATGGTTTTCCATTCGCTCCACTAGAGGGGAATCCAGAGAGAAAATGAGAGAGCTTAACCTTATGCCTTTCTCTTTTCCTTTATATATATTGGTTTTGTGACATAAGTCACATATCCTCATAAACCAATCCTTATAACATCACTTACTCAATAAAACCCGTTGCTCTGCAACTGCAACTGGGGACCATAACCCATAAAGGTAACACTAACTGTTACCACTTAAGTTGCAATATTCTAATTCAGTCCCTTCATCAAACTAGAAATTGCCCGAAGGTATCTACACTCATAATATTTCATGACACATATGTCCTTAGCCACCAAATTAATCCATAAGACCATTTTATATATATTGGCTAAATACATAATGGCTATAACACAATTATAGAATTATATTTGTGACCCATAAATTGTTAGAAATTCCAACATTTCCCTTTGGGAAGTGTTGAGCATTTGATGAAGGGTAACTCTTGCTTGGGAAGTATAGATAATTTGTACAAAAGTTTAGTTGATTTGGAAGGACAAAATTATTCGAAGTCCCTTCCTTCTCTAAAGGACAAACTTGTTAAGACTCATCTTGTTCAACAATTTAAACTCAAGAATCAGATATTGCAGTTTGATGAAGTTCCTATTTCCTTTTATTCATGCTACACTGTGTATGATGCTCCTAGTATAACACTATTCATGGTGACAGATGATTTGGTTGTGACACCAACCTCATCAATATCTATTATTTCATTTCTATCTATGTCTAATATCTCTCCTTCTGATATTGATGAAAAAGTTATCAGCATTGGAAAGAAAGAGGTACTTGAAGTTAACTCTTTTAGACTTATATATATGTATTTTCATTGGTCATAATTGTTAACTAAATCATTGTTTTTTATGGCATTGCAGTGTCTCAGCCTTCATTAGCAACTTAAATAAAAATGGAGTTTTTTTACCTTGTTGTTTTGATATTCATCAGTACTATGTTTTTGAGTTTATGCTGGTTAATTCAAGTGTTATGTATGAAACTTCTGCTACTGAAAATGTGCTGCATCTAGTTTTATGTTATTCAATTTACTTTTGTTTGAGTTTACTTATTAGTGCTTGAGTCCTCCCAAATGAACCTAGAAAGACAATATAGTTTTTGCAACAATTACTTATAAGTTGATGCTTTGAAGGATGATGAAATGTAATGTAACATAATGGAAAGAGGATGAAATGATAGAATGGAATTGGAGTTGTTTTCTCACTGTTTGGATGTTTTCATACCATTGATTTCACCTCAATGTGGAGAAAAATAATTTGTGTTTTACATAATAGTATCTATAGACTTTTCTGACACAAAATTTCCTTGCAGAAGTTGTGTCTTAAAAGAGTTGATTTCTAAGCATCATATGTGCAAACTTTGACTTAACAAAAATTGTTCTACCAAAATTTGCTTTTCTTCTCAACTTCTCCACTCAAATTTCTTAATTTTACGAGTTGTCCTTATCCTTTAAACATGACATTACCGTTATCCACTTCGGTATGATATTCATTTTTAAACATCGGTGGTACTATTTGAACTTTTATGGTTCATGCTATACCGTGCATCATTTTATAATATTCTCAAATTTCCATTATGAATAATCGAATAAGTCTTGTTAACAATATAAAAAGTATGTCATTATATGTTGATATTGATTGCTATCATTGAAACTAAGACAAGTGTAAATCCTTGATTTATAAGCACCCCAATAATTATAACATAAGCAAATTTTAACTTAATCGGTAATTCGAGTTTAAAACTAATATAAAAAATCCAAATCTGAAGATCGGGTTTGGACAATACCCACGTGATATTTTTTTCTTTCTTTTTGTCATGCTTATTACTTGCCACTTTTAGCAAAGTCAAAATTCCAAATTTCCCATTTTTAACGTTGTATTGTGTGTGTTTGTGTAATTGTGTGTGTTTATTTTTCTTCTCTTAATAACGGCCAAACCGAAAAAAGCTGGACTTTTATACAGTTGGGAGCATAAGAAGTAACGCCTTCACTTTGGCTTTTTCTTCATTGAATCTACTATTCTAGCTACTCACAACTACTCTCTTACGATCTCCACCAACTTCAAACCTTTCACTTTTTCCCTTAATAATCAAATCAATCCTCCTTCATTCCATACTATTGTTCTTTCTTTCTTCTCTCTCTCTCTATTCCAGGATC